TTTGCTGGAGAGAAATAGCTATCTCATAAACACTGTTCTTCGTTTTCTTTGGGTATTTTGAACCTTCCTTTTCCTCATTTATTTATTGTCTTGGTTCCAATTTGCGCTGTGTTGTTGTTACTGTTTCTTGGTGAGCATGTTGATTTTTTACCGCTTGCTTTCTTTTGTTTTCCCCCTAATTGTTCAAACACTTTCCCGTTGTTGTCATACTGCTTTGTTTTAAATTTCTTCCTTGCTTCTCTACTTTGCTGTGCGCTGGTTCGTCCATTTTTTCTTTTTCCCTGCCCCTACTAAATTTTCATCACCGAATCAGCTCCTCTTTTTTTACTGCTCATTTTTTCCCACCTTGCCTTACTGCCTTTTACTTGCTTGTGGTTTCTTTGATAGCTTCTGCTGTTATTCGTTTCTGTGGGATTGGACCTCTTTGTACAAGCAGGTTAGTTACTCTCATTTTGTTCTCTTCTTGTTTTCCTCTTTTATCTGTATTTTATCCTTTAATTCGTACCTTTTCGATGTGCATTTTCTAATGCATCGTTAGCTAGCTTATACGTTCTATGTACATGTTATTTTATTTAGTAATGCTGTTACGTTGCCAGTGACAAAATACTTTTTTCCTGCACTATAATTACCTGCCTGGCTTTTTTGCTCTTATTAAATATGTGTTGTTTGCTCAGTTGTTGGACTATCGACTCATGAACAGTGGTAATTGTGCATGTACTGTTTTCTTTTCCCTATTCTATTGCTCTTGCTTCTTTGCTTGGAAGAAAGAGCTACCTCATAAGCAGTATTTTTCATTTTCTTTAGCTCTTTTAAACTTTATTTTCCCTATGTATTGCCTTGGTTTTAATTTACACTGGTGTTGTTGTCACTGCTTCCTGGTGAGCATGCTGATTTTTACAATTTGCTTTCTTTTGTTCTTTCCTCTACTTGTTCAAATATTTAAGCATTGCTGTCATGCTGCTTTGTTTGTAATTTCTTCCTTGCTTCTCTACTTTGTTGTGTGCTGGATCGACCATTTTTACTTTTCCCCTGTCCCTGCTAAATTTTTATTGCCAAATCAGCTCTTTTTTTTGCCGCTCTTTTTCCCCCCACCTTTTCTTATTGCCTCTTACTTGCTCGTGGTTTCTTTGATAGCTTCTACTGTTATTCGCTTCTGCGGTGTTGGATCTCTTTATACAAGCAAGTTAGTTATTCTCATTTTGTTCTCGTTTTTTTTAACTCTTTCCTCTGCATTTTATCCTTTAATTTGTACCTTTTTGCCATGCATTTTTTGATGCATCATTAGCTGCATGCTGCTCTAATTTTACATTTTTTTATCCTTTATGTGACTTTTTTAACCTTTTGTGATCTCTATCCATTCTATGTCCATGCTATTCTATTTTCCTGGTGTTGTTCCATTGATGGTAACAAAATGCCTATTTCCTGCACTATAGTTACCTGCCTGACTTTTTTGTTCTTGTTACATTTTTGTTGTTTACTCAGTTGTTGACTATTTACTCCTTTACCTCTCTGCTTTTTTTTTTGCTCGCTCTGTTTTCTGTCATTTTTGGTTTACGTTTTTTTTTTGCTGAGTTAGATCTTCCTTTCTTTATATAGCCCTTTGGCATTTTTAGAACTCTTAGTGAAACTCAAATGGATAGAAATGCCGCTCACCGCAAAAAGTATGCAGAAATGCCACCATTGAAAAAAAAAACAACTTCTGCAACGACGAAGAGAAAACAGATCTGCCAAGAAAAAAGATGCACATTTACTGCCACGTATTCGCAAGGTTCCTCTGGGTTATATAGAATCAGGTGTTTGTTTCCCTGATTCGCTTCCTGAAAAATTCGATGGTGCGAATGACCCTTCTATGCATAGTGAAATCTTAGGAAGCAAAGCATTGAAGAGCGATCATGACAATGCTGTTATTGAGACATTGCAATATATGTCCTCTCGCGAGTCTGCTTCTTTTGTTCCTCGTGTTTATTTTGCTTCTACTACTCAAATAGCAAACGACATGTCGAATGCAAGTGTTCTTGCAGGTATAGTTGGTGATGTCCTTCTTCCTTCTTATTCAGTGGGTGTTTTTTTAAATCACCTTCACTCCCCTACCTACTGGTTCCTGTGTTAGCATTTCAATTCTTTGTAAATGGGTGCATCTTCGTTTGCAATCTGCAGAGTCTCCGCTTGCTGCTAAGGCTGATCTTACGAACTGCAAAGGAAAATTCCTTCCAGAAAAAAAAAATTTTTGACCCTTTCTTCTCCTTCTGTTGAATCTGATTTCTGCCTGCCTAGGAGAAAAATTAGTAACTCTGTGCCTGTGGCGTTACATGAACGACCAAGCAATTGCTTTGCTCGTTCTCGTAGCGTTATCCAAGATGTTAACTCTGCCAAAGAGGATTTGCTTATGAACAGTCTTTTTGAAAATTCAATAGAATACTGCTCTTCTGACCATGTTTCTGTGAACTCTGAAAAAAATTATCCCCTCAGAACTACTGTTCATGCGGATCCATTTCTACAACAAAAAAATTCATTTGTTGAGAAGCAAACTTTTATGCTTAGATCTGCTTGCTCTGTTCCTGTGATGTCCATTGACAGGACCATCGGTTCTTCTCATCTTTTTGAAAACGTTATTAACTATTCTCCTTTGGCCAAAGTTTATATACAATCTGGTCAACCGCAGTTTCCTTCTGCATATGAGCAACAAAAACTTCATTTTGAAAAAAATGTATCATCCTCTGAGAACCCAGCTTTTGAACTAGCTTCTGCATCTGGAGGTATATTTTTTAGCCAACAGCTGTTTCCAATGCAATCTTACTGACTATTCTTTTCTTCCTACCACATCCTAATTATGTTCATTGAAACGACACTATCCTATTTTGGTTAGCTTATTTCTTTATACGATTGCAGAAACCACCTCTGTTCAGGTCAGCTGCCTTACCGATTCTATTGAAAAAAATGATTCTGCCGTGACTGCAACAGAAAATGCACAATTTTCTACCTTCTCATCTAAAACACAGCCTTTTACTCGGGAACGTTCTTCTCGTCGTCGTGTGAGGAAGCAGACTCCGGGTTAACATTTTATTTCTCAATAACTATTTAGATGCCATTGCTATATAGCCTAATAGAGGCACAACTTAGTCCGCTTCTCACCCGTAGTTTTAAAATAAATGCAGCTGCACCTAAAAGGGGAAGGCAGCAACGCATTTTTCCAATCACTGAAATCCCGCAAGAAGCTTTGATTCTTCCAGACGCTCCTGATTGTGAGCACTGTGGAGCCAAGAGGTTCCATTTAGAACCTCCTAACTTTTGCTGCTCTGGAGGAGAGATTTCTATTGTGGCTCCATCTATGCCTTATGATCTTAAACGCCTATTCATCGAAAATGATGAGGAAAGCGCTCATTTTAGAAATAATGTTAGGACCTATAATAACAACTTGGGCTTCACATCCTTCGCTGCAAGATATGATCCAGAGCTGACCAAGAACACAAAAGGTGTTTACACTTTCCGGGTTCAAGGTCAGGTCTACCATTTTCTTAATAGTTTACTACAGTCAAGCGAAAAACCTTCTGGAATTCAGTTTTACTTTTTTGATTCTGATGAAGAATTAGCAAAAAGGGTTGGAAGTTCTGATAAGTTGCATGGAAGCATTTTAAAATTACTTATGCGTATCCTGTCGAACAATCCTTATGCCAAATTCTTTAAGAATCTCAGAAATGTCCCAAACATTGACAACTATAGGATTGTTTTGAACTGCTATCCTAGTTTGGACCAGCGCGTCTATAACCTACCTACAGCCTCTCAAGTTGCTGCCATCTGGACTGAGGATGATGATGAATCAGCGGATAGGAATGTCCATATTCAAGTTTATACTCACTCTAATACCAGCCATAGAATTAAGCATTACTATGGCTGTTATGATCCTTTACAATACCCTATTCTCTTTCCTCAAGGTGAATGTGGATGGCACCATGGTGTTAAGAAACTTCACAAGAGGAAGAGAAATGCAGATTCTTGTGAGGCTGATTTCAGCATTGATCCTTCCACTGTTGATGATCCTTCACTTTTACTAGATTTGGAACGTAGAGGCAAGTGTTTTTCTTGCTGTCTTTGACTATTAGAAGCAAGCATCATAAACTGTATCGACATTAGTTTGACCTTTTTAATTTGTTCTTTATAGCTGTTGACCATGGAAAGAGTGAAGAGGACACTGTATCGGCAAGAGAGTATTATTGTTATAGGTTTCAAATAAGGGAGAACGATGAGTCGATGTTGCTCCACTGTCTCAGACTTCTACAACAATTTTCAGTTGATTCCTATGTGAAGATAGAAACTTCTAGGCTGGACTTTCATAGACACCGACAAAATGTGGTTAGATCGGAAATTCTTCAAGAGGTATTGGACAGTGTCTCTCTAGGCCAGGCTGAAGGTTCTAAAGTTGGACGTAGGATAGTGCTACCTGCTTCTTTTATTGGTGGTCCTAGGAACATGAGGCGCCGCTATCTTGATGCAATGGCACTCGTACAAAAGTACGAAAAATCAGACATTTTCCTTACCATGACCTGCAATCCGGCATGGAAAGAAATTCAGTGCAACCTGAAGTATCATGAAAAGCCTCAGGATAGGCCTGATCTTTTAGCTAGAATTTTTAGAGCTAAATTCGAAATGTTTAAGCATGAACTCTTGAATAGATAGATTTTTGGTGAAATAGCAGCCTGCGTGTATGTCATTGAATTTCAAAAGCGGGGATTTTCACATGCTCATTTGTTACTCATTTTAAAGCCTCAATTTAAGTTGCTCAATCCGGAATCTTATGACAAGGTAGTCTGCGCTGAATTACCTGATCAGCTTCAATATCCTCACCTCTATTCTCTTGTTGTAAAACATATGCTCTACGGTCCCTGTGGCAATATGGATAAAAGTTGCCCTTGTATGAAAGATGGTTCTTGCAAGAGTCACTATCCAAAAATTTCTGCCCCCATACAACCCATGGTGAAGATAGCTATCCATATTATAGAAGAATGGGTGATGGCAAGAAAGTGAAAGTTCGCAGATTCACTCTTGATAACAGGTGGGTTGTGCCTTACAATCCCTATCTCCTTGCTTTGTTCGATTGTCACATGAACGTGGAGATTTGTTCTACCATTAAATTGGTCAAGTACTTGTATAAATATGTGTTCAAGGGGCATGATCTGGTTTGCTTTAGAATTATGACAGATGATAGTCCTACTGATACTGATGAGATTAAAGAATTCCAAAAGGGTCGATACATCTCGCCTCCGGAAGCATTTTGGCGCATCTATGAGTTCCGTTTAAACGAGATGACCCCATCTGTTTATACTCTCCAGGTTCATCTTCCAAATCAGCAGCTTGTTTCTTTCTCGAAGAACTCGGACTTGCTACAATTGTTAGCTAAAGTAGATTTTTCTAAAACCATGCTGACTGAGTTCTTCAAAATGAATGCGACCAACGCAGCTGCTGAGAGTCTCAAATGTTTTTATAAAGATTTTCCTCAGCATTTCGTTTGGTCTTCTAAGTATAGACACTGGACAGAAAGAAAGCGTCGAAAGGTGATAGGTAGACTCGTCAGTGTTAATCCACGAGAGGAAGAAAGGTACTATCTGAGGCTGCTCTTAAATCATATTCCAGCACCGATATCATTCGATGATCTCTTGACTGTTAATGCTAAAAAAATGAACTCGTTTAGAGAGGCTGCTTTGGCACTTGGGTTGCTGCAATCTGATACGTACATAGAAGAAACGCTTGAGGAAGCTGCTGCATTTCAAATGCCATCTTCACTCAGATTATTATTTGCAACTCTTCTTGTCTATTGTTCTCCAACTGATCCAACGATGTTATGGAGAAAATTTGAATTGGACTTTACTAGAGATTATGAACGGCATAAACAATATCATGCCTACTCTCCCGCTCAAATTAGGGGATTGGTTCTAGCTGATATTAACAAATCCCTTCATCAGATGGGTACATCCATTGCTGCCTATCAGTTGCCATTAGATGACCTTGTTAGTGTGGATCATGTTCATTTGACAAAGGAGATAGAAGCTGAAAAAAACATAGACATACCGCCGGAAGATCTATTGATGTCTTTGAGACTAAATGCCCAGCAAAAGTATGCTTATGACACCATCTTACAGGCATGCTTTGCTTCCCAAGGGCATTCATTTTTTATTGATGGTCCTGGTGGTATCGGCAAAACCTTTTTATACCGGTCGCTGCTTGCTACTTTGAGGTCACAAGGTTATATAGCCATTGCAGTAGCAACCTCTGGAATTGCAGCGTCTATCCTGCCTGGAGGAAGAACTGAACACTCAAGGTTCAAGATACCTCTTGACTTCTCAAAGAACAGAACCTGCCAGCTTAGCAAACAAGGCAGTGTTGCAAGGTTGCTCTCGGAGTCAAAACTGATCTTGTGGGATGAGGCTTCCATGGCAAAACGAGAAACTATTGAGGCATTTGATGATTTGCTTAGAGATGTCATGGAATCTGAACTGCCTTTTGGGGGTAAGGTTGTTGTGTTTGGTGGGGATTTTCGTCAGACGCTGCCTGTTATTAAGCAAGCAACAAAGGAAATCCTTTTGCAGTCGTGTTTTCTCAATTCTCCATTGTGGTATAAACTTCATAAACTGAAGTTGATAGAAAACATGCGAGCTATATTAGATCCTCAGTTCTCCGAATTCTTGTTAAGAGTTGGCGAAGGGCGTGAACTTGTGGACTTCAACGGTGAAATAACTTTGCCTAGAGATTTAGTCATTCCTTATTACGATAAAGAAGAGTCCTTAAACAGGTTACATTACTTAAAAAATTCTGGTCTATCTATCTACTCTTTAGTATATACAGCTTCTAATTAAACTTCTTTATTAACAGGTTACTACAATCCATATTCCCAGATTTAACTCTCTATTCCCTGGATCCATATAGGATGATTAACAGGTGTATTCTTACCCCTAAAAATAGCTCGGTTGATGAGCTAAATGATATACTAATTAAAAGGTTCCCTGGAGAGCTTCACACTTTCATTAGCTCTGACAAAACTGTTGACCAGCGGCACCAGGGGGATTATGAAGATTTTCTTAATTCTCAGAATCCAAAAGGCCTTCCTCCTCACAGGTTAATGTTAAAAGAACATTGACCGATCATACTAATAAGGAATCTAAATCCTGTTGAAGGCCTGTGGAATGGCACAAGGCTTATATGTAGAGAGCTTGGCCGGCATACTATCTCCGCTGAAATTGTCTTCGGTCAGCATAAAGGAAAGAGGGTTCTCATTCCAAAGATACCCTTACAAACTCCCGACAACCAAAAGAATTCTATTGCATTTATAAGAACTCAGTTTCCTATTCGACTCTGTTTTGCACTGACCATTAATAAATCTCAGGGAAAAACTCTCGATTACGTTGGCATTTACTTGAGAGAACCTGTCTTTTCTCATGGACAGTTATATGTAGCCTTGTCCAGAGTTAGAACTTCAACTGAGCTGAAAATACTTATTGTACCAGGAACTTTTGATAGTATAAAAATGGACTGCAAAACTAGAAATGTTGTGTTCGGTGAAATTTTTGAATTGAGCCAGCAGTAGAGTTTTCTTATAGCCAGGTATACTTGTACCAGTCCATGCTGTGTTTACTTATTGCTAAAGTCTTGTGTATACCCAAGCTTGTACATTATAATCATTTTTCCTTTTTTTACAGGAATGTCTAACCTCTTGCCAATTGGAGAAATCGTGCCTGATATGAAAAACTGGTCCTGTGTGATCACGGTCCAAGAAAAGCAACAGGTCACAGATTCGTTGGGAACACCAACCAAAAAGCAAAAGTTTGTCTTCTATGATTCAGAGGTTACATTTTTAAACCTGAAATGGCCATTAATAATTTGAACTCTTTCTTTGTTTGTCCATCATAATTCTTATGTGTACTTTTTTTTTGCTTTCTGATAGGGCTCTAAAGTTGAAGGGATAATCTTCAATGCTGATATTCCAAGGATGAGTCCTATGTTGCAGGTTTATAAAAGATATAAGATTTCAAATGCTGATGTGAGGACTATTCCGCCAAAGTTTCAAAGTGCTGGATTAATCAAACAGTGGGTGATCACTTCAAAAACTGTCATTGAAGAGGTTGATGGCAATGAAGACATTATGCCTGTTAAATTTGCGTTCACTGACTTTGCTGATTTAGCTGAATACATGGATGATAGAAACAAGTCCGTTGGTGAGTATGTAAACAGTCTATCATTCATATTTTTGTCACACAATCGTTCTTATCTCAGCCTGTCTTCTTTCCCCTTGCAGATGTGCTCGGAGTGGTGATTAGTTCATTGGCCATGAAGACAATCACTAGAAACTCCGGACAGTCAAATGTTCAGAAATTTGTCCTCCTAAATGAAGAGTACGCAATCTTTTTATCATTGTTCACGCTCTTTTACTGGCCTTATCGCATTTTTCCTATAACTTTGAAACATTTTTGTCCTGTCTTTTATGCCAACGTTAGGTCTCAAACTGTCCTGCTATCCTTATGGGATGATTTTCTGAACAATGAAGGCCGGATTCTGTTGAATAACATGCACAGCTATCCTGTTATCATTGGTTGAAGACTGAAAGTTAACAACTACAATGGTCTGTTAACATGCTTTTTTTTTTGTATTACAGCCTTTATTTGTATATCAAGGTTCTCAGACATAGCTCAGCGTTCATTCTGTTGTTTATTCGGCAGGTGTTTCTCTCTCAACCTGGTTCGATTCTGCATTGCTTGTTGATCCACCAATACAGGATGCGAGACAGCTCAAGAATTGGTGCAATGGCATTAACTAACATTTTTTTTGTGCACCTCGGTGTCACTTATATCGTTCTTCCCCATATTTCACTTACATCATCTTTTTCCTTGTAGGGCAATGAGAAATGCTAAGTCAATTGCAGGAATCATTGATGCAAAAAGTTACATTAAATACAATCCTGCACTTTCTTTAAAGAGAGACCAGAAAACTACTCTAATTTGCAATGTTACCGCATCACAGAAGGTGATCAGATGATATTCTGTTATGTTATTTTACAGCTTCGTACCTATTCAGATTTCCATCTAATAAATGTCTTTCTTTTTAGACTGCCTGGGTCAAGGCAAAACTCTCTTTTGAACAGATCTTCCAGAAATATTGGTATATGAGCTGTGCAAAGTGTTATCGAGCTACTGCAGCGGACTATGGAATGGAGTTTACTTGTAATTCGTGCAAAGAGAAGGGCCCTGCTATGCCTAGGTCCTATATTACTACATCATTAACTTTAATTTAGCTGCTTAATTCCTCTTAATATTAATGTTATACAGTGTATCGCCTAAGCACTTGTATACTTATATTTTAGGTGCCGCTTTGACGTTGATTTGATCGATGACAGTGGAGTTATACCTGCTTCTATCTTTGGAGATCTAGCAGAAAAAATTCTCACCTTCACTGCCCTTGAAGCAATGGACCACTTTAATCAGGTTATTTTAATCGGTCAGATTTAATAATAAGTGCAGTATTTCCTTCTCACTCTTATATCTTTTGTGCTTCATCCAGAATCTTGAGCTGCCACTTCAGTTTGTCCACGAACAGCTTAAAACAAAGACATTTCTGGTTCACATTAAACCAGTCCAAACACAGCTCGCTGATGCCAGACAGCGGTATACGATTTTATATTGCTCTGAACTTGAACCAAAAAATGAGTCATGCTCAACTAACACATGAACCAGAATCTGTCTCTCTTTCATGTGACCAGCAGGCTGAAAATGAGCAGCTATTGACAGCAGGTTCGTGAATATACCTGGAGTAGTGATACATCCCTATGTTTTCTTTCAATGAACTATTAACTTAATTGAATGTTGCACTCACAGGACATGGTGGTTCTAGCTCGAAAGTGCGTCTTTGCCTCAGTCAAAAGTTTGATGAAACAGAAACTGTCAGCACCAATGACTTTGATAGTCCACATGCTGACTCCAAGAAGAAAGCAAAATTAGGCTAAATTGTTGTCACTGCCTTTTGCATTGCTTGAGCATTAATATTTTTTGGGGTTCTGTAATCTGCACTCCTATGCTTAGACCGATTGTTAACGTTTTTTTGCAAATACTGCTCGTCCATTCACAATTCCCTGGATTTTGTGCATGGTTACCTACTAAACTTCTTTTTGTCATGCCCATTGAACTTTGATTAAGGCACCTGTATCAGAGTTCTTGCCAGGCTTTCAAAGATTAGCTGAAATCCTACAACGTTGGTGAGCATAAGGATTTTCACAGATATCTTTGGATTCCTGACGATGAACTCCCTTTGTGTAAAACTGATAGCTTTATAAGCTATACAATATAGGCTTCCTTTCCATCTGTTTATAGTTTTTTAAAATTACAATTGCTGCTATCAATTTCTAACATGTTGGACTATCTGCTCCTGCTACATATTTAGTTCCTGCTACTTATATGTTGGACTATCTGCTCTACTTAGCATGTTGAGTACACGTTGAATTATAATTTTTCCTTCAAACCATTAAAGCATTGCAGATGCATTACTTTCCATGCTATCAATTGACAACTCCCACTTCATATTTTGCAGAACTAGCAGCTTTATAATCTATATAATTTGGGATTCATTTCCGTTTCTTTATATTTTGTCCAGTGGAGTTATTATTATGCATTTGCAGCCTCCAGCTTTGTACGAATGCATTTATTGCGAATGGCAACATTTTTTACAAATAAAACTTATATATTCAGGTCCATTAAAGCATTACAGGCCATTAAAGCATTGCAGGGTGAATTATGATCTTGCCTTCAGGCCATTAGAGCATTACAAATGCATCCTTATCACATGCAGTCGGTTGACAACTCACACTTAAATGTTTCACATTGAATTGTCTTTTCTATTCATTGGTCCTTACCTTCCTCTGCAACTAATTCAATTGTGATAGGAAAAGACTTGCACTTAGCATTAACAGTAATGAACAGTATACTCTTTTTACATTGATCCTTTCTTTATATATATGCTCTTTGCCGTTTACAAAATCATCCATAACAACTCTTAACCATACATTTGCACTACTGCTTTTTCTGCCTAAGAACTTGTCAGCAGGTGAGTTGCTCTACAATGTATTTGTAATCCTTATCATATGATATAGCCTTGTACTCGCATGTTCTATTAGTAGACCACTTGTCTGATTTTCCAGCATCAAATTTCCTCCTGATAGTTCAATGGCAGAAAGAATCTTAACATCTCCAACAAATTTTCAGCCGACAAATAGCTGCTTATCAGCTTGCTGTTTTCTAATAAAATGCATCCACAGAGGACAGGTTAACTTTTACCTTCTTCACTTACATTGTAGCATTTAGTGTTAAATAGCATGGTATTCTTTGACAATATTTTCCTACTGCATTTCTTGAAGGTATTACCTGCTCAGTTTGAATCATTATTTCATCAACACCACAGCAATAGAATTATTCTGAGGTTTGGACTGCGGCAATGGCCTATCACAGTCACGGCTGGGATGCTTTTTGTGAACACAATATTGTCAAAAGGCATGACACGCTATTACTTCGACATAGCGGGAATCTGATATTCGATGTCATTCACTTTTGTGAACTACAGAAACAAGTTCTTTTGCCTTGGACCGTTCCCCTGCCAGACCTGTTGCACATGAATGCTGTTGCATCAAGAGATAAACATACCATTGTATCTATCTCGCATCCTCATCTATATCATATATTATTTTTAATGTAATACATAGTCACTAATTACAGATGATATCCAAATAGCCGCTGGACAACAAGAAGTTGCTTCCTCACTAAGGCCAAATTTCTGTCAAGATCTATCTGATTCGGTTTGCTTTTATCAAGTCTTTAACTCGGCGACTCCAAACAGTTTGGTAAGCTATTCTATGCTTACCTGCATTTTCTTTTTCATCTCAACTTTCTCACAAGCAATTGTCTTTTCTTTCTGTATATCTTCTAATCTACACCTCTTGATGATAGAAAATTCCACACTTTATTGATCACTTCATCAATGGTATCAAGACTCCCACGTTACTTATCAACACTGGACACAGAAGTACTCAAGTTGGTGTAAAGCATAAACGCCTTCACCGAAACTGGAGAGATTTCGTTCTTCAACATGAATTGCAGCACA